GAGAATCCAACTTAAATTCGAACTCGTCTCTCTGAGCCATTATTCATTACACCATCCGCACATCCAATCTTACAGCACCTGGTATTCCCAAGCGGTCACCCTTCTAGATACTGACCAGGCTGGACGTTGCTAAATTCGTAAACGTACAGGAACCGGTGTTTCAACGTGATATGGAAATAAGCTATATATATATATATATATATATATATATATATATATATATATATATATATATTGAAAATTACTTAAAGCTGCAAACTTTAAAAACAGTACAAGTAAATATTTATTTATTTTCCCTTTAAGTGGAATTTATTTATTTTTAAATACATTTTTTTTTTTGGCTATTTTGTAGAAAGAGAAGAAAAAGTTTTCGTACAATACTAATTAGTTGTATTTCTTTCTTGTTTCTCTCTCACAGACGTGCCGTCGCCTCTCTCTGTCTTTTTTACAAATACTTTCATGGTAATTGCTCCGATGAGCTGCTTTCGCTGGTGCCCAGACTTCATGAGTTCAAGCGCCCTACGAGGCTGGCATCCCGCTCTCACCCTTTCACTGTTGAAACTGTTAAATGTAGCCGTCTCTTCTACTCCAATAGCTTCATGCCTCGCACCTCTCGCCTGTGGAACTTCCTTCCCTTTTCCTGTTTCCAGGATAGCTATAATCTCCAACTTTTCAAATATAATGTCAATCGACATCTTCAGTTGCCTTGATCTATCCACTATCCTTCTCCTCATCCCTATCACTCCTATCTGCTCTCGCTCTAAATTCTCTGTACCCACTTGAGTGCCAGTGGCTTCCCGCCTTGCTTGGGGTTAAATGCTTAAAAAAAAAGTTGTAAGTCAGGGATCATTAAGTGAGATGCTATTGTGGTTTTTGTTTCAGGAACATTTATTTAAATTTTTGAGAAGGAAATACCTGACCCATTTCCTTCATTTTGGACTGCTCACTCATTTTAAAAATTCAGTATTACGAAAATATTAATTCTTTGATTTTTCGGTTGGCTATATACCGCTTTAATTTACAATGAAATTGAGGACCAACTTAGAACTGGACTTTTTCACTTCCATAGATATTATTTATTTTCTTGAGTTTCTTCAGACTTCATAAATTTTCTTCGGAAATTAACTTTCACATACACTAAAACACAAACTACTTAAATAGGAAACTATAATTTTTTCGTTTTCTAATCTGAACAACCCAAGTAAGGGAATGATGCCCCTGAAACACAAGGGGTTATTGGGGGTGAACAAATAATAAAAAGACTTTAGAAGAAACTGGAAATCCAATCCTAATCAAGAAACAAGAGATAAACCTATAGAAACGTTCCAAAAACTGGGGAGAAGTGTGAACCGGGCGTGAGGTGAATCTATCTACTCCTATTTTAAAAAGAAAAAGTAATTCAATAGTAAATAAAAATTCATAGCTTCAGGCGAATTCATTACAAGTAAAGAGTTGAAGTAAACTCAATCCTAAACAGAAAACAAGGGATAAACCTCTATTCCTGTTTAAAAGAGTGGGGAGGAGTGTGAGCCGGAAATATATAATCACGAACGGGATTACGTCCATCCCTCAGATTTTGAAATATTTTATAAATTAAAATAACACAGATTAATTTTAGGTAAAATTTTGATTTAATCAAAATTACCCGAAGCTAAAAACTTTCAGCACTTCTCCTTTGTTTTCGCTTCAAACTCCTATCTTATATACAATTTCAAAATGTTCATAAAAAATTGTTTGATTTGATGAATTGGATCGTGATTACGATTCCAATGTATCAGGTCATCCCATAAGTTCTGTCCGAATTTTTAATAAAGAAAACAAATGACCAAATTTTACATTTAATTACAGATTCAATCAGCAATGTATTTTCCCTGATTATCTATGACTTCCTTCCATCTATTAACAAGCTTACTAATTCCATTAGTGTAAAATTCTTTTGGCTTTGATTTGAAGAACTCACAAATGTCAGTTTTAACCTCTTCCTGTGTTACAAAAGCTGTTTCTTCCAAATGATTCTGTAAGCTACGAAACAAATGGTAGTCTGAAGGAGCAAGATCGGGAGAAAAAGGTGGATGAGGAATTTTCTCCCAACCAAGTTCTTCGATCTTTTGTGACGTGATTCTTGCTGTGTGGGGTCGCACATTGTCCTGATGAAACATCACCAATTTTCGATTCATTAGAGCAGTTCTTTTTTCCTCAAAACTTGGTTCAAATGCTCTAATTGATGACAGTATATTTGAGCATTCATTGTTTCATTAGATTGTAAGAATTCAAAGCGGATTATTCCTTGGCGATCTCACCAGATTGAAAGAAGAACCTTTTGCCCATGAAGTTCCCTTCTCGGCTGTGACTGGGGTCATTCCCCTTTACCAAGCCACTGTCTACGACGCTTAACATTTCGATAAAAGATCCATTTTTCGTCGCCAGTCACAAGTCTATCCAAAAAAGGTGAAACAAGTCGGCGACAATGGAGAGAAGAGCAGATGTCAACTCGGGATTTGAGGTTGTTTTCAGACAATTTATGAGGCACCCATTTTTTAGGAACTTTTCCAAGTTGTTGAAGATGACGCTGAACAGTTGTATGGTTTGAACTGAGAACCACTGCTAATTCCTCAACTGATAAAGCAGGATTTTCTTCAAGGGCTGCTTCAAGAAGCTTTTCATCAAACTCAACTGGACGTCCGGTTCGATTTTCATCTTCAATGGTGAAATCTCCACCTCTGAATTTTGCAAACCATCTTCTGCAAGTTCTTTCATTCACACATTCCTCTCCATAAACTGAGTGAATGTTTCTAGCTGCTTCGGCTGCTGAGTTTCCTTTCTTGAACTCATAAAGCATTATGTGCCTCAAATGATTCTTGGGTACTTCCATGTTAGCAGGGTTTTAATCAAACAAAATGTAATTTTATTGTTCTCTGAAATAAAATTTGATCAGTTTAAATGCATCTAAACATAAAAATAATGTTCAGCTCCATTAGACATTATAAAATACTCTTTAAATTTCGTTCATTTTAACAAAAAGTTAAAATTCGCACAGAACTTATGGGATGACCTGATAATAAGTTATAACCATAGAATATTAGTATTTGAACCTTTTATATTATATTCTTACTCTGTCCTGGACATTGAGTTCTACCTGGATTCTATCCTCTTGGAAATTTTCAAATGTTCCTCCATCTTGATTTGAAATCTAAATTTTAATTAAGAAATATTACCCATCTAAAAATAGCTACAAATTAAATTCATGAATTAGACTCTAACTGATAAAGTTTTTACCTTAACAGTCATTCACCATATTAAAATATTATTATTAATAATTTTTTTTATTTTTATATAATTATTTTTAATATAATATTCGACTTATATTAAGTCCCTAATTTATTTGTGGAGAAGTTGAATAGTTAAATTGCTAACAAGCATTAAATTTAATTTCTTTGTGGAGTTTTTAAACATTTAAATTATTATCAAATGTTAAAATCTGATTTTATCTAAATTGCTAAAGCTATACCACCCCTCGCCTTCCTCCAAAAACCCTACGTACATCTCTTATCTCTTTACTTCCCCACTTTTTCTCTTTTCCCTTTCCCATATCATTTCTGTTGAATTGACCAATTAAATAGGTCAATGTCTGATCCTTACCCCCTCCTTCCTCAATATTAAGTATTATAATAAAAAGAAATATAAAAATAAATTTTAAAACTCTCATTTCCCTCTCTAAACTCGACCATGACTCTCACACTATTCTTCACCACCTTCTATGTCAATAAGCTTAATACTGTCTGTCAAAAGAGTAAATTTTAAATTCATTTTTCGTTTCACTTTTTGAAAGTGAAGGTGGGAAAGAAAAGAAAAGAAGGAAGAATTAAAGATTAGCCGATAGGCAAACCTAGAAACAAATTTTTCCTTAAAAGGCTTAAGTTAATATACTGGTTAAGAGAGGGGATGATCAGAATTAAATAGTTACAGTAATATATCTAATAGTCATGTCATTTCAGACAGCAAAAATTCATCATCGCATTATAATATTCATTACAATTTCAAATTAATAATAATAATGATAATATCCAACATAAAAAAATGAAGTAAATAAATAAAAATTTAAAAAAGTTAAATTAAGACATAAATAAAGAAAAATTTAAAGAACAACTTTATATATATATATATATATATATATATATATATATATAGATAGATAGATAGATAGATAAGGAAGAAAAAATAATAAAGTTAATACAATCAATACTATTCCCTTTTTTAAAACACTTTTATATTGAAATTTTTCTTTTTCTTTCTTCCTTTTTTTATTATAATTTTTTTTTCCTTTTTCTTTCTATTGTCTTCTCCCTTTTCCTATTGGCTGGACAAATTGATTTTATTTCTAAAAAAAAAACTTCCATCTGAAGAGATGAATATTTAAATATATTCATGAAATGGACTTTTATGGATTGTATTGACTTATCCATATTCTCTCTCTCTCTCTCTCTCTCTCTCTCTCTCTCTCTCTCTCTCCCTATATATATATATATATATATATATATTATAATTATTTTTTTAAAATATGGTTCCTTCGCAAAGGAATCATATATTTAAAAAATAATTATAATTTAGGCTCTACTTTTGTATTGAGCACTGTATATTTTTTTAATTAATTATAATTTAGGCTCTACATTTGTATTGAGAACTGTTTTTTTTTAAATAAAAACAAAAATAATAAAGAAATTCTGATTATTTACCTAACGTGTTCTTTTCTATTTTTCTATATTTTACACACACCTATATATATATATATATATATATATATATATATATATATATATATATATATATATATCCAGTTCACACACTCGTCGACAGCATTTTGAACAGGAACAGAGATTTATCCCTTTATTTCTAGTTTAGGATTGTGTCCCGGTTTCTTACAAAGTATTTTTTCATTTTCTTTCACTGTCAGTAGCCTCTTGCATCTTAGTGACATTATCACCTTGCTTGGAGTAAACTCATTAGATAGATAGATAGATAGATAGATAGATAGATAGATAGATAGATAGATAGATATACATTTTCCTTACTGTTAGCATAACTCTCATATTCATACAGGTTGCAAACGTCAGGTGCAAATATATTTATTATGAGTATAAATTTTAGTTCTGTTATTATACATGGAGCACTGTTTTATTACTACAAGCACTGTGATATTTTATATATATCGAGAGAAAGAGACTGGTAAAGAGAGAGAAACAGATTGTGTCATACAATATACATATATATTAACTTAATTTTTATTATATTGGGTATTTCTTATTTGAAATAGACGCCCTATTTTTTTTATTAAGCAGTGCGCGCATAAAATGTTTAATAAATAAAAATATGGCGTCTAATTCAAATAACTGCCCTACGTAATACCGTTTGAAGTAAGGAAAATGTCGGATTAAAAAAATCCATAAATTCTTTAGAAAATACACATATACATGTATATGTATGTGTGTGTTAGAGAGAGAGAGAGAGAAAGAAAGAGAGAAAGGTATATTTAGATGACACATTTTTGAAGAGGATGTTGTATATAGGGATCGAAACCAAAAATAGATAAATTGTCTGACGTTAATGTTTTTCTGTTGTTTTGTTCAAGTAGTTTCGACCGCTTCAGTCGAAACAAACATGAACTTCGAAAAGTTTATCTACAGTTTCGATACCGTTAGACAATACCTTATTCGAAAATTGCAAAATAATAATAAAAATTCAACAGACAAACTTTATCGGTTGAATTTCATAAAATTTGATTATATATATATATATATATATATATATATATATATATATATATATATATATATAAGATGAGAACGAATAGAGTACAATTCCAACTTTCGTAACATTTAATTAAAAGAGAGCTAAATACAAAGTAATGCAGACGTGTTTCGATGCGTATAAATGCATCTCATTAGGCGATTTTAAATTATTGGCCAGTGAACGATTTAGATTTAAAAGTGGTTGTATTTTGCTTTTAAATCTAACTAAATTGTTCACTCGCCAGTAATTTACAATCGTCTGATGAGATGCATTGATACGCATCGTAACGGGACTGCCACTGTGTAGCGATTTTGACATGTTTTCCATATAATATCCTAATATATATATATATATATATATATATATATATATATATATATATATATGAAACCATTGCAATGATATTCTAATACTTACGTCTTGTCTTGTTCGTTTTCTCCGGACGAAATATTTTCCAACTTTGTTTCACCAGCTTCAGTACATTGATTGATGATGTCCAGCTGTCCACTGAGAGATTCTTCTGTTTTGGAGCAGCCGCAATCAAAGGACAAATCTTCATCGGACTTCCCTTCAACAAATCCAGTATTTACTGTGCCGTCCTGGACAGAAATGATATAGACAGATCCTTCATTCGCTTGTCCGATATCAAAGGACCCTGATTTCGAGTATTCCGCTTTGAATGGTCTCACCTCCGGGGTTTGGCTGCAGACAATCGAATCGTTCCAGCTGTTGACATCTGAATCCCTTCTGCATACACGATCAGCAACGACTGTTGTAGCCATTATTTTGTAGTCAGGAATGTCTTCCGTCATTAGCCTTATTCTTGGTATCTATCTTCCTCCAAGGTAACGACCTCTAACCCTCATGTGAACAAAATTTATCAGTAAGGCGACCTCGACGGAAAATTAATTTTTTACTTACAGACGCGTGATTGTATGTAAAGTGCAGCATGATAATTTGCAGTTAATTATTTCAAATATCTGGGTTTTATTGTAACTCTGTTTTAAGTCAAAGTTGCAGTTATTTTTAAACTTTTAACTAAATATAATATATTTTGTTTGATTTTATTTTATTTTTATTTATTTATTTTTTCTTTTTAGTATTTACTTATTCCAAATTATTTCATATTGTGTGTGTGGCCCGAGTAAGTCATGTTCATTGCATTCCGTGATTTCGAGCGGCAAATATTTTCCGAACAAAATGGCTGAAATAAAGAAAGTAAAATGATTAAAAATAGGAGAGGCTCTAAATATTTACTCTGCATTTCGGTACCAGCCAGGTTTAAAATGGACGTTGGTAAAACAGAGTCGATAAAAAGAGTTACTAATTACTATTTTTTTATATACAACAGTCGTCGTTTAAATGGCTGATAATCGTAGATTAATAAATAATAAGATATGCGTGAACGTGTTCATAAAAGAAAAAAAAGGTGTAATAAGAGTAGTGAAACCAATCGTGTGTGTTTATGGGAATTTTAAAAGTCGCCAGAAGGAGCATAAATATGCATACTGAAGTGCGATACTGGTATTTATTGTATATAAAAATACAAGTATGGCACAAGGCCGAAAAAAGGGAGGGTAAAAGGCTGGTCTTCATTATCTTATACCTAGCTAATCCGATTCACGACCCATTCACTCATGAAAATCTTTATAGAAAAAGTGCATGGAAGCTAGGTTAGGGCGCTGGGAAAGAAACTGAAGCCGAGATGCCAGGTCTAGCATGTGAGCAATAGAAAATGGGAACAAAAAGGATACATAGGCGGGATATGTGAGCAAGAAAGGCAGCTCACTTAAAACTGAGACTCTGTTGAGTGACATGCATATAACTCCTTCTATGCGTTCTGCAATCACCTCTAATCTTGATCCTCACAAAACATGTGGACATAGTGGTATCCCTGTAATAGTCCTAAAGAAATGTGCTCCCGAAATGGCTCCTGTTCTCTCTAAACTGTACAATAAATACATAGTTTCACTGTGCCTACTTTAAAAACACATTTATGGTAATTGTTCGTATAAACCGTTCGTTATGTTATCTAGTTTTTATGAATTTAAGTGCAGTATTACATTGGCAGCAATTCACACCTATTCAAAGATGAATTGGCTAGATGCAACCGTACGTTTTATGCTAATATTTTCTTTTCTCACACTTCTCGCTTGTGGAACTCTCTTCTTTAACTCAACTTTAATATGTTTCAGCATTCAATAACCTTAAAAATGTTGATAAGTCGTAAAAAATCAATTCATCTTGAATAATAATTTGTCCTAACAACATTCTTTTTTTAAAGTTTGAAGGCCGGAGTTAATTCTGTTTTGATTAACCTGAATTTTCTTTGTTTTTTTTTTATTATTATTATTATTATTATTATTTGAGTAGTAAATGTTTTAGTTTCAGTTTAAACGAGGGTATCCATCTTTGATCGTCAACCGTTATCTAGTGTCTTCTTTATTACACTTCAAATGTTTTCGCTTCTTAATAATGTTTCTCTTTTTTTTTCATATTCTTTCACAATCAGCAACGCAGTCAGAAATTTGAGAACTTTTCTTTTACGTTTTTTAAAAATAAAAACGTGAAAAACTGCTCCACTACTGCAAAAAAAAACTGGAAAGATAAGAGATCCTAAACAGCACCACCCCACTCCACACCTACCCTCACCGTGATAGTGGGAGTTGTGTTGCTGAACGGGAAATAAATTTAAACCCTTCTCAATGCATCGAATGGTCCGAAAATATAATGACAGTGTGAAAAGAAGACAGCAGACTCAGAATGGATATGGAAACTCGAAGTGGGACACACTAAGAGAGTTTTTAGTGACTTCAGCAAACGAGATAGTCCCAAAGGAAAATGGACGAAGACAAAATGAATAGATGACAAATGAGATTATCTACATGATGCAAAGGGGACAGAAAACAACACCAAAACACGAAACGGAATTTTAAAAAAAATACACAAAGAAATAAGGAATAAATGCAGACAGGATGAAGAAAAATGACTGAACGAAAAATGTGCAGAAATAGAAAGAATGAGTATCACAGATAAAGGAGATATGCATGGAAAAAAAAGAGAACTAACAGGACAAAAGCCACGCTCATCAACAGGCTGCATAAAATCCAAGGAAGGAATGCCGATATTCAAAAAAGAAAAATACTTTAGAGATTGAACGAATATACAGAACTCTTAAAAGACGAAAGGGAACAATTAAAATAGTAAAACCCGAAGTGGAAGCTGAACTGGCAAAATTAAACGAAAACAAAGCGACAGGCTTAGACGGAATTGCAGTAGAGATGTTGGCATCCTTATACGACTTCACTGTTGAAACTATTAACTGTAGCCGTCTCTTCTACTGTAATAGATTCATGTCTCGCACTTCTCGCCTATGGAACTCCCTCCTCTTTTCTTGTTTCTCTGATAGCTATAATCTCCAACTATTCAAATGTAATGTCAATTGACGTCTCCAGATGCCTTGATCTATCCCCTATCTTTCTCTTCATCCTTTCCTCTATCACTCCTATTTGCTCTTGCTCCAACTCTCTGTAACTCCTTGCGGGCTAGTGGCTTCCCGCCTCGCTTCGGGTGAAAAAAAATGGTGCTTCGTAGGTCGTGCCTTTTTAGTAAAAAGGATCGAACAATTTAACGTCTAAAACAAACCCACCTGAGGAGGGACGGGATAACACCAAAATCCCCGATGCAAAAGAACCGGCAGGCCATTACACTATCCTGCGTTGAATGTCACTATGAACCACAATTGTGAGATAGAGGGTAAGGGAACCACAGTACGGTACACCAAGGACAATTTTGTACTTCAGTGTACCATGCCCATTCAGGATGCTTACGATCATGGCTCTCCACAATTTCCTAATCCTTTAGAAGTATTGATAAATGCCATCTTTTTGTCATCCGATGTGCCACTATTCATTTATTCAATCTCGCTAAGTTTGTTTTGTCTTCCTCTGGCCCCCTTGTCTTCACTGTCCTGTGAGTATCAAATTTTCCAAGCCCACTTTCCGCATTATGAGCCCTAGAAATTCCAACCGTCTCTGCCTATTCAATACAGTCCTTAATGAACTGTATAATTTTCTTATCACTCCTAAACCTTGTTCCGCCATCCATTTACTCAAGCTCACTAGGTGGGTTATGTGTTGTTTTCCTCTGTCCCACTTGTCTTCAATCTGTCATGTGAGTATCAAATTTTCTAAGCCCTCTTTTCTCATTATTTACCCTAGAAATTTCAAACGTCTCTTCCCGTCCAATATAGCCCTTAATAAATTTGATCTTTTTGTTATCTCTCCTAAACCTTGTTCCGCCATTCATTTACTCAAGCTTGTTAGGTGGGTTATGCGTTGTTTTCCTCTGTCCAACTTGTCTTCAATCTGTCCTGTGAGTATCAAATTTTCTAAGCCCTCTTTTCTCATCATTTACCCTAGAAATTTCAACCGACTCTTCCTGATATTACTAAAAGTGACATATTTTGTTCACTTTTTCTCTAAAATTTCTCAGTATCCTTTTGTAGAACCATATTTCTGTTACTCCAAAGTTTCTTCTTTATCTGTGAGAAGATTGTCTAGCGTCTATGCCATTTATATATGTGTAATGGCATTATGTAACATTTCAGTATGGAAAAAACGCTGAAAATGCAGCATATACAAGAAAGGATTCGAAGAATACGCTGAAAAATTGGTACCAGAGTAAGAAATTATTTTCTATTGTCATGTTATCCGAAATTTTGCATCTATCTCTTTCTTTCTTTCTACCTTTTTCTCTTTATATATATCTTTCTCTTTCTCTCTTTTTTCTTTTTCTCCCTCTCATTTTTTCTCTCTCTCTTTCTTTGTCTGCTTTTCTCTCTCTTTATTTCTCTCTATACATAACACTCTCTCTCTTTCTCTCTTTTTTCTCTCTCGTCCTTTTTTTCTCTTTATTTCTCTCACTTTATCTCGTTCTTTCTCTCTCTTTTTATCTCTTTCTATATATATCTTTCTTTTTCTTTCTCTCTAAGAAAATCTCTCTTCATCTCTTTCAGCATCTTTCTCTCTCTCTCTCTCTCTCTCTCACACACACACACACACACACACACACACAGAGACACAGACACAGACACAAAGGCTGCTCCATTATTCAAAACACCCTGGTGACAGTTCTATTCCGGGTCAGTACAATTATGTATAATTTAAGGCATAAGAATTTTATTATCTAACAAATACAATTTTAAAAAAATCAATTATATCTAGTGGTCCGAAAGTCTTGTCACCCGCTCCCAAAAAGTAAGGAGAATAACAGAAGAATAAGTAATACATTTAATAAAAAACACATGCACTGGATTCAGTTTATTCGCTTTCATTGACGGTGTCACACATCGAGAAGGTCTGTATGAACACCATCATTGTCGTGGCACAAAATGATGAGGCGCCATGACCTGTGTGATATTTTACGAAGTTGTTCTTTGTTGATTGTTGCAAAGGCTCTCCGGACGTCATTCTTCAACTGATGAGCATTCTGGCTATCGTCCATACACTTGCAAAAAGCCTCTCTTCTAAACCCTTAGAACCTCGTGTCAGCCATCTGAAATAGAAAATTATATTATGTGGGGGTAACAAGAATTTTGGAACACCCCTGTATTTTAATCTAAAACTCATTCAAGTCCACTCTTTCAATCAACAAGGGCCACAAGCTTAAACTTAGAACACAATATGAAATATGAGAATTGAAATGTTCCAGACCCCACAAATTTATCCAGAATAGAAAAGGATGAT